TTGTCATCTATGCATTAGTATCAACTATTCATACATGATAAATCATTACATGTTACAAGTTCATGTTATGCACTCTATAGAGATGGATTGTTGTGTGTGACTAATCTTAATTATATCTTGTGGTCTTTTGCTTCATAAGTATGTTTGTTCCGGACTGTATGCTCATGGAGTTACATGAGTGAAGCAGACAGGGATTATTGCCCATCTCTGATGCTCCATGGTATTGAGACTTTTCCTACTGTGGACCTGTTGTATAATTCCAGACACCGCTATGCTAGGTGTTGGTTGATCGACTGTCCATGTGCAGCTCTGCATTTCAAAACAGGGTATCGTGGTCACCCATTGCACTGTCTCCAGAGCTGTGGTTCTCTGGACTCCAATACATTTTTCCACCCTCTCTTCTCATGAAGTATGAGAGTTCTTGCCACTTATCAGTTTCTATTCACTGGGATGGTGGATCATGTAAGTGTGAGTGTTGCCACTCAATTGAGATTAGTGCAGTGGCATTCTGCTGGTGTTGATGGCATGATGTCCTTCCTACAGTGGACCTTATGTATAATTCCAGGTGCTGCCAGGTATTAGTTACAGCACTCTGCCATTTCTTTACATATCTATTGCAGTTTTCCCCTCTGCTAAGACATTCCTCCTTCCTCTCATTGTCCAGACTTTGTTCTCGGTGCATCAGGTGTTGTTTGGAGATGGTCCAGCCGTATAAGTCCTCATGTTTTGGGCTGGTACCCTCCTCCTACTGTGGACTGGAAGATAAATTCCTAATACTGCCAGATTTTGGAGTGGAAATGCAACCCCAAATTTTGGTCCCTCTTCCTACCATCCTCTAGGCTTCAGTTCCTAGTGGATCTGGTGTTGTTTGGAAGCTGGACGAGACACATGAATTCCAAAGTGTGTAAGGCTGTGTTCCCTGTTCCTATCCAAATTGGATGGCACATTCCCAATGCTGCCAGGTTTTGGACCAGAAGTGAATGCCTCTTGAGCTCTCCTTACTTCCTACCATCTGCTGGATGTAGGTTTCTGGTGGATCAGGTGTTGGTTATGTTGGAGATGTGCACATGTGGAAACAGGTTATTGGTATGGAAGCTCGTCTTCCCTCCCAGGACCCATGTATGAGATGAAAGGTAGAGGCCCCTCTTCCTACTGGAGACCCGATGTACGATTTCAGATGTAGCCAGGTGTAGGTTGAGGTCAAACTCCCATTTATGGTTTGTTGCACCCTAGCTACTTAATACCTGGGGGTCCCCTTCTTGTTGTAAAGTTTTTGAGGCCTCTCCATGTTTCCACTCTTTTGTTTTAGAAGACATTCCTGAATGGTGAAGAGTATACTTGGCTTAGAAGTGGTGTGGTCTCCCACTGTTGTTTTTTTTCCTTACCACACCTCATGGTCTTTCTTTGGATGCTTTCTAAAGGAGGATCATGTTCTCACCAGCTCTCCACCAGTTCAATGTGTGATTCTAGCTTTTTATTAGCAGAATAAGATGTCATATCAGAAGTTAATATTTTCCTAAACTAAAAATGTATTTCCGATGTATACTTACCCCCTCTCACAATTCCCACCCATCTTCCCCACTTTCAGTGTATTGGTTGACTTGGTCATGTCAAATCTTGAAATGATTAACAGGTGCATTATTGGATAGAGTGCTAGTTACGATAGGGGTAGTGTTGCACTTCTATTGGTGGAGGGTTGCTGCATGATGATTTGCATGTAGATATGCAGAATGAAATGGGAGTTAGAAGGCTAGTTGTGAGTGAAATATTTGTGCCAATAGAGGGCATTACTAAACAAGAAAGGTTTTTGTAAGAGGAGGTAAGTATCTATCGGAAATGCACTTTCAGTGTAGGAAATGCTAACATTTCTACCTTTATGCCTACCCTTCTCTCCACCTTCTTCCACTGGTACTACCCAAGGTCTGTTCTCTTAATTGCTACACTGTGGCCAGCCCAATCATGGTGTTTGATATATTTCCTTTATGATCATTGCTTATCAGCTTCCTCTACAGCAAGTTACAGACCTGCAATATCAGCAACTTTTCAGTGCCATGGGAGCCATTGTTTTTGGATCTGTTCTGAATTTTTTGTGTACAGTGTCCCCAAGTTCATAAACATTGTTCAAAGTGGTACTTAGTATTAGTTTTAAATTTCTTTACTTCACCTTTTTAAACTTTAGGAACTTATTCACATTATCGTCTTTCCCCTTGAGGCATATTTTTACATGTGCTTGTATCTAGAAAAAAAAGTGGATATCTGAGACCTCATTGCACCATTACCTTATTTTCTTGAAGGATTCTATACTTGTATCCAGATAGAGCTTTCCTAAATAATATAGGGGTTGTGAGGAAGAGAAACCAAAAGATCTATTTCACAATTGACCCAAATTTTCCTTCAAAAAATTGCTTTTTATATCCCTTTGGGCTGTGCATTTTTATATTGCATGTACCGAATCATTTATGGGTTTTGAAAATGATTGTGTCCAAATACATTTTTAAACTTTTACTTGCATCACATTGCTGCCTCTTCATCTGTAGGATTCTGTTTGCCTCCTGTAGTGATACTCTAATTCAGGTGGAATCCTTAAGAGGTAAATTCAATGACACTGCTAAATAAATAAAGTAAACCTTCATGGTCTCTCTCTTGGAACTTGTTTTTGTCCAAGACACTATTAAACACCCTGTTTATGGTTCCACTAGAGGGTGATGCCATCAGATGGCAGATGATACTTTGGCTGGTACCTTTTCTCACCTCCACGTGCACTTCCTTGTTTAGTGATTTGAGACATTGGAGACATAGTTGTTGTCTCATTGCTCCAACTAGGATAGGGTACACCAATTGGTCTCATTTTAATCTACTCTCACTTCCTTACCTAGAGATCCCATTGCACTATCCTCAAGTTGTTAAGTCTATTCTCAGACCACCTAGCTCTATTTGATTCTACTTGGGTGCCTACTAACTAGGCTCATTTCATGCCATAGTTAACCTTTTCAATTTTTGTTTATGGGGATTTTAACCCCAGTAGTGTTCCCAATCTCTAATTATTTATTTGTCTTCTCCATCAAGAATATTCCACTATCAGGTCCTGGATACCTGTCAAACTGTCACCTGAAACAATACTTACATAAGTGTCTTCATGTTTCTTAACCCCCATTTTTATTTTTTCAAATGGTGTCTAGGTACTCTGCTGAGAAGAGTACTTTCCCTTTGGAGTCTCTTAGAGGCTAATCCTCTCAACTCAATACTTCCATACAAATCCAACCTAATGTCCTTTGCTCTCATTCTGGATTTTACTAAGGCTCTGCTTATTCTCACCACTCAGTTGTTGTGATATAGATATATTGTATTTTCTGTCCCAAAACCCAACAACTGGTAATTTGGTTGTATTTTACTGTGATACTCTTCAGTTCCCTCCTCCATCTTAATGTTGTTGTTTTAGCTTACACAATAATATTGTTATTAATCCTTATCACAAAAACTGGATTTGTGATGTAAATAAAATTGATAATCTAGCTCACACTATAACAGTCATTGTTCATGAAGTTTAGTGATATTAGTAACTTTTAGGCCACTACTATGTCTGTCATGTCCCAGCCAGTGTTAGCTCTGACACTGTGAAAAAGGCCTTGTTGGCACTGAATATGGAAGATGTAGTGGGGTTGACATATTAAAACTTAATCTTCTTAACTTTTACTCATAAATTCTTAGAACTACAGTATTTCAGAGGTATGTGCTTGAAATTTTTTTCATTCTGAAAAACTTTAAATTTTAACACTCCATTTTGAACTAACACATTATAGCTTTTAAAATAAGGCATTGATAATATTTCAAATAAACATTTTTTGTTTAAATTAGAAAACATGAAGCCTTATTTACCACATCATTAAACTTGTTGATTACATTGCTACAATTGCCAAATCAGTGAAATATTTATTTTCAGTTTTAGACTCCATATTATTAAAATACATTAGAGGTACAGTTCCAACATGTCAAGATTTGGACCTGACCAATAGGCCATGATGGTATCAAATTACAACAAATGGTACTTGTTATAAGCTGTGCTCAGACAAATGAACAAATCAATTAGTAAAATTATTAGCAGTAACACATAGTAATATTTAATGCTACTTTGTAGTTTGAAGTGATAACATTTTTAGCTACGTTTTGCATTATATCCCTCCTAATTAATATTTGCTTCTGCTTTATAAAACTATGTCACTTAGCCTTGCCAAATTTGTATTTCAAAAATGTCTTATAAACTGGCTTGGAAGGATCAATTATAATTTAACCTCTGTTCTTTCAGGAAGATTGTGTAGAACATTTTTGTAAAGGATTGTTATTAATTATTAATGAATTATCTTGTAAAATAATTAAGGACCAAGCTTTATTAGGTGTCCATTTTTCTACTGAAAACATGTTGAAAAAAAGTCTTCTCTTATAAATATGTCTCTTACAGTTCTTGAAAATATAACTACTGAAAAACTTTGTGCTAAAAATCTAGCACTCGGACTACATTCTGTCATATTTTTCCACCTTGATGAAGATGACTACAGTTTTTCACATTTGTGTGTTCTCCTTTACCAGATTATATTGTGTCTAGAATAAAAAACAAAAAGCAAACAAATTGTAAGAAGCTTTTCACTTCTGCTGCCTTTTTTCTGTGATAATATTTTAGCTACCGACTTTGTTTACCATCCATTCTAAAAATACAAATATGTGATAGGATGAAAGCATCAAAGAAAATTATATTACATGAAAATTTATATATCACTAATATAAAAATAGTCTCAGTTATTTAAAAGATAAAGAAATACTAAATCATGTATTTTCTTTAGAAAAAATAATTTGAATTTACAATATACTTCAAAGAGTTTTGCCAACAAATTAAAGTTTTGTAAGGAATGTTTTATATCTCAGTTGAAATACTGTTATATGAATTAATTTAATTGGATATCCTGAAATGACTTAAAACAAAAGATAATCATTTTTTGTTTCCACAGCTGATAAGGTTCGAAAAAAGTTGACTGACCTAACATCTCAGGTAAATTCATAAGTTTTTAGTATTATTGTGATGAAATAATAAAAATGCTTATGTTTATGTTATGTATCTTTCTGCTGTTTTATTTGCAAGACTGTTTGTAGTTTTATCACACCTCCACTCAAGTATTTAATGGTAGGAGATTTATCTGGTATAGATTATTGAAGGTTTGTTGTATAGAAATTACGTCTGCATTTTTTTATTACTTTAAAGTATTTTTACAATTGGAAGATATGTTATATTACTCTTGAATTCAAGATGAATAAGCCAAGTACAAGAAGGATTCAGTGGCTGATACTCTAAACCTTTCTACTAAAATCGAACTGTTTATTTTTTTCATTGTGTTATGTATCCTTAGTGTTGATTATGTGGTGGATATTAACAAATGATAATTTCCTTTTTTATGTGCTTTTATTAAGGTGGATTAGAAAGTGGTTGCCAATCTCTGTGGTATATGTAATAATCTGAAAGAATGAGTAACTCTTAAACACAAGTGTTTTTTCTAGTTTTTAAGACAAATGACCAAAGCATTTAAACCTGTCAAAAGATTTAATATCTCTGCTTTAAGAGCAAAATCCTTACTGTAAAAGTTAAACTCACTAACTTTAGTTGTCTTTCCTTCTTAACCCTATATGCACAGGTGGAGATCAAAATGTGCATGTCACAAATTTTACAAAGGTAAATTCAGAGTTTAATTAATAAACTTTATTATCAATGATGTCAATAAGTTTGGCATCAAACTTTAGTTTACAATTTGTCTCAATGTTATGTAAGTTTTGGTTTCTTAATTTTCAAAGAACATATTTAAATAAATTCTCAGTTTTCACTTTTGTTTCAGATTTTCTTTCTTCTTTGATATGTGTTTCATTCTGTCCACCAATTACATGCATGAACTATAGATATAGATAAGTCAATATTTAAAATATGAACCCCATCTTTATTTTTTCACATATCACTAATTTTGATAAACTCACCACAGAAGTTCCTCCAAAATTTTCATGCTCTTGAAATTACTTATTACTCAAGCTTACTTGTCAGTGGTACATATTTTCATAACAAACAGAAAGATCATTATGTGAACTATGTGATTATGATGTCTTTATGATAATTAATTCTGGTAAAAGGCATCATTTCTCAAGCATATTTTATTAAGTAAAGACTGATGTCTGTGTTCCAGTAAGTGATAAAATTTTTTAAATATTTTTATAGGTCAGTTAGAAAGTCAGATAAATTACTGTCGTTTGGTGCATTCTGTTTTACTGTTTGGATTATTGTCTATTTTTTAAAATGCATATTTGAAAGATACCTGAATTATCTTTTGGACATCAAACTTAATGAGAAAAATTTATGGGTAATGAAGTGTGGTTTCTGAAAGCAAAAGACCTCAATCTTGAAGTAAGTATCAAACTTCTTATTTGTTTATTTCTTGATATATATATTAACAAGAGTAACTAAGATGTAAAGATAAAAACTTACTAGGTTAGATAATAAAAACTTTGCCCCGAGGACCATTCACAGTTAAAGGTTATGAGATGTAACCTGAATTTTGTTTACCTTCAACTCTCCTCACTCCCTTTGGGTTTGTGTTATTGATATTTACAGTGGTTGGACACAGTTGAAAGAGCAATAAAACAATGAATTGTAACTAGATGTAAATCGTTACTTAGCCTTATACAATCTGCAGTCAATCGAGAAAGAAAAAAAGGGTAATTTAGATTTATTTCTCATATTTTATGGGGTAGAGAAAATAACAGAAAAGAAATAAAATAAAGTTTTACTGAAAAGAAACTTTTGATATTGATTTAGGAGTTTCTTGAGGTTATTTAAATGAAACTTGACAACTGTAAGATGAAATTTATTTTTATTTTTAACATTAAATCATCTTGTACTCAGACTGACTGAAATAAATTCAGATAGAAATCTTTAGAAAAGATACTTTATTGAAAATTCTAATTTTTTGTGTACACTATAATTATAATGTGTACTAAAAGATTAATAAATATTGTGAAAATACATTAAGTATAACTGAAATTATGGAATTTATAGGAAACATTTATTCTCCAGTGTGGGCTTGGTCCTTTGGATTGACCCCATGCATATAGGATTAAAGCTAGTTAACTAACTATACAATGGATAAAAGTGAGTTTTGTCTTCAGATATGCAAAGTTCAAAAATACTGTCACTGCCTCAGCAATCTACCTGGTTATTGAGTTTGGAAAATACATGTGTCATTACCAAAAGTTAGATTGAAAAGCATGTGAATTCTGTCAAATGCACTTGATCTCAAAGTTATAAATTTAGCTTTTGGCTGCAGTGTTTTCTCTTAGTGTATTCTCTAGTCAGTTCCAGCCAACAGTGTATGTAATGAGCAACTGTTCTCAGAAGTTGGCAACTTTTATGAAGCAGAGAGAAACCAATTTCCTGATTTACAGGAGGTCCGAGTTAAAGTTTGCTCCAGCCCCTCCACCATTTGAGGGAGGGATTCTAGCTATTTCTGATGTCTTTTACTGGAATGGACATAACTCTTCTAAAGAGACCACAGAAGATGTGCCAGAAGTGTTGAGTGTTGTGGTACTTTATATTCGATAACAAATTATTATTTGATGTTTGAGACCAAAAACATTAACACCAAATGGTTCTCAAGTAATAATTTAATGTGACTTAGTGGTTTATGTTTTATATATATTTATGATCATAACATTCATAATTTTAAATTTCTGTTAGTGTTCAACACAAACCAAACCTTTTCTTCATCCTTTGATGTTCATGGACATCCCAAAGGTGTTGGAATCATGGATTGATTTTGCCCATTTGCATTCTTCCTTGTCATTGTTGGCCTCTATGCTTTCTTTGGCTCCTGTTGGAAATCATGGCACAACTGCTAGTCGTGTGTTCCAACCCCCAGCTTCTGCTCCTTGATCTATTGATATTCAGAATAGATTCTTTTCTAATCTTTGAGGCTCCTCTGCTTGGGCAGACCTTTGGCAAATGGCGTCGGTGACTACCCTATGCGGGTGGGGTCTGTGGGAGTGAGGTCACAACATTTTCTGGACACCTTGAATTCCTTCACCACAGATCCATGGGTACTTCAGGTTCTGGCATCAGGGTTGGTCATTTAGTTCATTTCTACACCTCCATTATCCTCCCAACCAATGGTATTTCCACCCTCAACAGATCTGTGGAGTGTGGATCTTCGTTCCAAGATGATCAGAGAGTTATTGGTTGAGGGGGTGGCAGAGAGAGTTGATCTAGTTTTTCCGGGATTTTATTTCCGTTTATTTGTTGTGCCCAAGAAGATGGAAGATTGGCAGCCAATCATCGGTATTTCTCACTTCAACCAATTCTTAGATCCTTCCAGGTTCACAATGGAGTTCTTTCTTAACCTATGTTGGCATTTTTCACCAGGTCTGTGGATGACTAAATTCAATGTTGCTGATGCATTTCTTCACATTCCCATAGTGAAGGCTTCCCACTACTAGAGTTGTTTGAGCTTTTTTTCTTGCCAACTTCATTCTTTTGGCCAGTGCACACACCATTATATGGACGACTGATTACTTCTGGCCTCATCTCATCAGCTGGCAGAACAACACACCCAGATTCTCCTTTCAGAAGCCACCAAGGCTGGCTTTCTTATCAGAACCAAGAAATATGTTCATCTGGGTGTCTTTTTCAATACGTTTTTTAAGCCAGGTTCAGCCAATTCCCATCTTGCTCCAGGTTATGGAATGGGCAGTCAGGCTCTTACTTACATCTCCTTCTCTTACTGTGCAGATGATTCTCTCTCTCTCTCTAATGAGGATATGGGCATCCCTCAAATCTCCGATTCCTTTGGGATGAGCACATATCCGGTCCCTTCAGTGGTTGCTGCATGACCAATAGAATATGAACTGTGATCCACTGGATCATCCAGCCTCCTTATTCAGGAACAACATCTTAGATCTCGAATGGTGAGAGTAGGTGTTCCTATATTGCCCCCTTTCGTCCCAAGATTAATCTCTGCACAGATGCCTCACTCCAGGACCAATGATGGTCAGGAATTCCAGGGTCTATGGATGGAAGATGAATCTTCCTTCCACATCAGTATTTTATAAATTCTTTCTGTTCAATGAGCATTGGTTCCAGGTTTTGATCTATTGAATGGGAAAATCATCATGATTCATTCTGACAATTCCACAATGGTCTTTGATATTTCCCATTGAGGGGGCATGCATTCTTGGGAACTTTGTTTTCGACCTTTGGATATTCCCTACTGGGCTAACTCCCATCATATCAGTGTCCTGGCTTGCCATGTTCCAGGGATGATGAATTTAATAGCAGATCACCTGTCTCGGCCCAACAAGGTTCTCCCAACCGATTGAATGCTCCATCATGAGGTTTTCTGGTGGATTTGCTCTCAGTTCAGGACTCTTATAATCAATGCATTTGCAACTCATTGTAACATTCAACTACAGACATTTTGGTACACGGTACCTGATTCTAGGTCTCTATGTCTTTTCCCCGAATTTGTCTGTTACCCAGTTTTTTCTATGATTTGATCCATTACTTGGTAAGTACTGTTGGCAGCCCCAGATTGACCAGCCCAATCATGGTTTCTTCTTCTTCTTCACTATCTTCAAGAGTGTCCACCTTTGCCACTTCTTCTATGGCTATCTCTGTTGAGGAAACACTGTCTCATGAGACTTGCAGAACAATACCTGAACATCAAAAAATTTATTATAGTCTTACAACACTTTTGGCCCATATCACAATATATATATTGTTTTCTGAAAACATTGCAAGACTTTTACCTGACTTTCAAAAGAAAACATGAAGTTTTAGTTAACTTTTACATTCCATTTACTTGATATAACTTTGCTTGCTAGCTTGGCTCTTTGGATTATGCTAAAACCTTTCCAATTTGAATTACCTTTTCGTGATCTTCAAAATGAGTAAAAAAGTTTTGTGTGTCATACTCAAGGTGGTGACAAAAATTATTTTATGAAAAATAAGAATTGAAGAATTTC